CTGATACCAGTTTAATACTTATTTTTTGAAAATTTATAAAACGTTTTACAAATACTATTTTGCGTTAATTACTGTGTGAACAGTAACCATGAACAGTAACTTTTGAATAGTAAATTTTATTTTTTATTTTTTGAAATCGAAATACAAAGATTAGAGATTTAAATTACAAAGATAAATTTAAAACTTAAAACTAAAAAGCTTTTACAATTTTTAGAGAGAAGGGAGAGCTTTTTCGAGAGAGAGAAAATCTGAATTTTTGCTCGTGTCCTTCTCCTTTGTTTTGAAGGCATATTTATAGGAGAAGGTTGTGTATAGAGTCTTGATTCTTGGAGCTCATCAGATGGTGCCGACACTCTTGTGACACGTGTCGTTCATCTAACAGTGCCGACAGTTTTGATTACGTCATTGCTTACGTCATGGCTTACGTCCTTGCTTACGTCCTTGCTTACGTCATTGCTTACGTCTTGCTTGCGTCATAATTCCTGTGTCTTGATTTATTCTTCGATTTTACAGAGATATACTCTGTATTTTATTTTGATATTAACTGGTGTAGCATATAGCCGGAATACACATAAAGTTTAAAATAATATACAGAGTCTACCAGAATATACATTATTAAAGGTAAATTTAAAACTATACAATACTATTGGGTTTTTTTTTTTTTTTAATATATTTGAGTCATCTTGGATTTGGAGACGCACAAAGGAGATTTACCATCGGTCTTACGGCTTACGCTGAGGACTTGCAGCCTGGAACATCTACCTTGCCAGTGAGTCGTAAAGTCTGAGATGAATTATTATTATTATTATTATTATTTTTTTTTATAAATCAAAAGGGTCTTGACTTAATGGTCCGCCAAATAGATCTTCAGGATTTTCGGCGGGTTCTTGACCGTGAACACTATCGTCGTCGAACGATATATTCATCATTTCTTGACTAAGTGCCTTGAGGGTTTCCTTCATAGCTTGAAGTTTGGATTTTTTTGATTTGGATTTTTGGGATGAGGAGGATGAATGGGTAGGGCTTGATGGTTTTTTGTTTTTAGCTGGGCTTGGTGGTTCTTGTTTGATTTGGGTTGGTGGATGATAAGGAGGAATGTTGGCTATTTGTGATGGGGTTAAGAGTGGAATAGAGCGGGAGATGGATTTGATTAAAAGGTGATCTTGTTTATTTGCGTCAAATAATTTCTTGATATTAGTGAGGGAACATCTTTCGATGTTATATTTGTCCCACCACTTGACACGAAATTCTTTGACTAAAGAGTATGGCATATTAGGTAGGGCTAGGACAAGGTTGAAATGCCATGAACAGATCCATGGAATACCCATGTCTGCATGGAAGTAAATTTTGTTTAGAGGTCCAATAGGATTGGTGTTGGGTAAGTGTTTGGTGTAGAATGGATAAGAAGTTTTGATTATTTCTGGTGGATAGATTTGGTCAATGGGTCCAAACCAGTGCCACCATTCGTTGAACCAACCTGGTACGTGTTTATTGAACCGCTGGTCAAAGGATAAGAACCAGGAATGGTCAT